TATATATATATATATTGTGATAAGTGGCGACCGTGTGCACACAACATCAACGCCGCAATCGTATGTCGCAACGCTATACGTAGTATCATTGTCAATATACCTGAGCATCGTATTTAAATTCTCTTAAACGATGTCGTAACGAATTTGAGCAAGATATACATACATTTAATAATCATATTATGCAAATGAAACGCTATCAAGTTTTGTCCGGCGGTGGTACACAAATTAACCTACATATCTTCATATGGAAAAAATAGATAATTCTATACAATAATAACAAACAACTTCAATTATTCAATAAATAAGTAGATGAGTCGATGAATAAATGAATAAATGAATAAATGAATAAATGAATAAATGAATAAATGAATGAATGGGTAAATAAATAAATAAACTATTAAATTTGAAATCCCGCGGAATTGACGTGTACCAAGAAATAAAAAAGAGCATTTAGCATACGTCGGCTCTGCGACTCTAGTCCTTCCTACAGGAGCAAGCACGCCTTGCTGACTCGCTTCTTACCGGTCGGCGACACGACCTTGGCGCCCTTGGTGTCAACATTGTGGTCTATCAGGCTCGTCTCCAGCTTATTGTTAAGTTCCATGCTAACGACATCGGCGAGTTTCGTTAGACTCTTCTGCGCGTGATTCTCCAGATTAGTCTTGCTGCTCTTCTCCAGCGAATCACTGATTGATCTGCCTGGCTCTTGCGGTGTCTTCTGCGAAGCTTTCAACTCGCCCGTCCTGCCCTTACTGACGCTGATGAGTTGGCTGTCAAGGTTACCGGGCAGTACGGGCGTGTAGCTGGTCCTAGAGGGCACTCGCAAGTCGCGCGATGATGTCACCCCCGTCGGCTGCGGGGAGAGGGGGTTCTCTAACGCGTCCGTGTCCTCAACACGCGTCGCTAGGTTCATCAGCGACCTGGAATGTGGTGAGCGCACGTGTAGCATATGTTGTTCCACGACGAACAGCAGCTGTTGTACAAGTGTACCACGATTCTAAAGCCCGGCGCACACGTGAGTAAATTTTACTCAAGTAAAATGATGCATGCGTCAAAATACTCACGCGTAATATTTCCGCCGCACACGTGAGTAAAATTATTCAAGGTATAAGTGGTAATGTAGATTATGTGACTTTGCGCAGCCAATACTGGGCGCAGTCATCTTTAAAACGATTTAAACGCATGCGCTCTAGCGAGTACCAGTGTTGAGTAAATTTACGCAGCTAGCGCGCACCCGTTGGTTATTTTGACGCATGAGTCAAAAATTATCAAACATGTTTGATATTGAGTTTCTTGATGCATGCGTCAGAAAACTCAACGAAAATCCGGCGCACACGTGAATATTTTGACGCATGAGTCAAAAATTATCAAACATGTTTGATATTGAGTTTCTTGATGCATGCGTCAGAAAACTGAACGAAAATCCGGCGCACACGTGAGTATTTTGACGCATGCATCATTTTACTTGAGTAGAATTACTCACGTGTGCGCCGGGCTTAAGTAGAATCACGTAGCTGCTAGCTAGCTAACCACGATCCCTTTCCACGTCGACGTGCGTATAGTCGCGTATTTCACCTACTGCATAGGATTCGTAGAAGACACGCGTTTTGTCGGATATAATAATGGCCGTGTAATGTGCCTATTTCGAGTGTGATATCTATTTCCGTAGTAACCATGCAGGGGGATAGACGCGTTACCTGCATGCCAATGCGGGTAGATACGGCGATTTTAATAGAACAAGTGGATTTAATACACACTACACATGCACGCGCGCGCACGCACGCACGCACACACACGCACGCACTACACACACACACAACGCACACACACACCACACACACACACACCAACACAACACCATACCGCACACACACACACACACACACACACACACACACACACACACACACACACACACACACACACACAACACAGCACGCACGCACACATGCATGCCCGCTCACTCACGACACATACATATAGTGAAAGTAGTGCAACGTGCGCAGAAATCGATATAGAAATGAATACGTATAGGTGCAGTGACAACATACATCATCTCGCGGCTACCTATTCGTCTCGTTGTGACGGTGATGGTGAGTAGAGAGACCTGGTTTCGGCCTCGGCCTCTGCCGCCTTCACCATCTGCGCATACATCTCATGCTCGGCGCTGTGCAGAAACGTCTCGCCGTCCGTACCACGCGCGAGCCAGTAGGTCTTCATCGAACCTTTACCCTGCAGAGCACGTACATCTACCCTCTGAATCTATACCCTCAGTATGTCTACCATAATGCGAGCTTTGCTTACCATGCCAAGCTCTATACGACATGCGACGCTGACTAGACCTAGAATACGATAAGGCAATAATAAAGATAAGAAAAATAATAATCCTCTG